AAGTCAGCTAATGAGCTCCAGATGTCACCTGTCAACTTAGCTGGCACAAGGACATTGAACAACTTAAAAGAGCAAGAAGGAAAAGCCCCAGCATCAGCCAGAGAGAACTCTTCGTACCTTCCAAAGTTACCCTCACCTGTCCTGCTCCCGAGCCCCCATATTAGACTCACAAAAAGTCCTTACAATCTCAGAGTGCTAGGAAAAGTGACTTTTCTACCATATTTGTAGGGTCCTTGAACTTTAGACACTCTGGGTAACTTGTCTAGCACAAGGCTCAGTAGTATATGCTATTGCTGTTGCTGCTTTGCTGTCTTCTGGTCTTGTCACCTTCTAATTGAAGGAACTTCCCAAGGACTCCTAGCACTTCCTTTCTTGGTTTGTTCTCTCTTTTCTGTTTTGTTGTGTTTTGTTGATGGTACGGGGGCTTGAACTGAAGGTTTCATGCTCACTTGGCTTGAGCCTCACCTCCGCTTCCAGGTTTTGCTGGTTATGATTTGTCTGCCTGGTTTGGCTCTGAGCAGAGAACCTTAGATCTCAGCCTCCTGAGAAGGTAGGATTATAAGCCTGACACATAAGTACCCAAAACCCTTTTTAATTTTAAAGCTAAAAAACAAGGACTCCTCCCAGGACTGAGTATTCAAGTATGACTCCATCCTCACTATCAGCTCTAAGAAAACTCATTCCCTGGAGTCCTTGTTCTACATCCTGAATTCTTCCCTCCTTGCTGAACCAGATGGGCAGTGGAAGACAGGAAGAAGGAGCTTCCTCTGCAATCACCAGGGCAGAAAGGGAAATTATAAGAAGTAGACCAGGAGATACAGGATAAAAATAGCTTTTCAGGAAAAAGTAAAGCAGCCCCACAGCTATGGCTTGAATGCTTGTTCCCTGAGTTAGATGTGTTAGAAAGTTAGTCTTCAGAGTCATATGATAATGATACTTGAGAGGGGATCTGGATCTCATGAATCTATCCATACATGAATGAATCCGTGGGTTATTAAGGGACTGGCTGCTATAAAAATGAGTTCTCTCTAGCAAACTTACTCTTCCTTGCCATTGGATGACCTCTGTCATGTGATTATACGGCTGAAGCCTCTTCTCGGATGTCAGGGCCTTTCTTGTGGGCTTCCTGGACTCCAGAACCATGAGCTAAATAGAAGTATATTCTTCATAAATTATAGTCTTTGATATTCAGTGCCAGCAATGGAAAAGACTAAAACACCAGCACAATGCCATCTGAAAGCCCAAGAGATAGAAGGCTCTTGGAGGCCATGGAGGATTCTGACATCCATCCCAGGTCTAGCACCTGACCCCGGCACCCCACCAACATCTGAGCAACACCACTGGTCCCCAAAGATACAACTACAACTGAGGTTCTACACTGTTATCTGCATTCACACTGCTAACTAAAACAAAAACTATCACCTGCATTATAGGACAACACCTGGGTGCTCTGCTGCCTCCCAGGGACTGCCTCCTTTCACCAGGTAAGCACCGGTGGACTTGGACTTTGTGGTATGAGGAAGGAGGCATGACCAGCAAGTGGCAGATGCCATGGAAGAACAGTTATTCTCAGATTCTCAAACGTATGGATGGTGAAGGGAGCAGTTTAGTTAATTCTGGTTCCTTCAAACATTCAATAATTTTCATCCAAAGCCAGGCATCCAGCCTGATGCTGCCCATAGAGCGAGCTCTGAGTAGGGCAAATGTGGTGCCCGGACCTGTGGAGTTTCTAGTCTGTTGGAAATTTAAGATTTAGAGGAGAGTTGGGAAGAAACAATGGGACCTTTTGAGTCTTTCAGACAGCAGGCTCTCTCACAGCTAGGTAGTCGCGGGATAGGCTGCAGGAATGTGTACCTCCTCTCTCATAGTATTCCAGGCCCTTGTGGGTCTTGAAATGAAGCCAAGAAATGTAGCCCAGTTAGGCCAAGTACATATCTCTCCTGGAAGCCAGGATTCAAAGGCTGTGCACACTCACTCCATGCGGCCTGAGCTTGAGGTGTTGCCTCCTGATCCTTCTGGGTTACCTATATGACCCTCTACAAATGATCTTTTCTGGGGTTTGGTTTTCCAGTCTATTAAGTACAGGTAATAATAGCCATCACAGGGACTAAGTTAAATTATATTGGATGCCAAGAACAGTGCCTGACATATAACAAGCAATTGCCAATTGTTTTGAAAAGAGGAGGAAATAAGGCTGAGCTGTAGCTCAGGGGCAGAGTACTTCCCTAGCAGGCACACAGCCCTGGGTATTTGAGATTCTGTAACCATCTATGTTAACTTAGCAAGGTGCTGTTTTTACTTGCTGGCTTGTAGGGTGCTGGGTGACTGAGAAAGGTCAGGGTTCCAGCCAATAAAGCCTTCATTAATGCCCTCTGTGAATATTTATTGAGTACCTACTATGTGCTGACTAATTCATAGGCTACATGTGTCCACATTTTATGCCAGAGTCCAGCATCCACTTGAACCTGCTGGCTTCTGGTTTCAGATTTTCCTGCTTCAAATACTTTGAATGCTAAATCCTCTTTTCTACCTGGCTCAGTCTCCCCTGCCTGTGTATCCACTCTGTCTCTTTGCTGGCTTGGTTCCTAATTTTATTCCCTTTGCACTCTGGGAGCCATGCTGGTCCCAGGCCCCTTAGGCTAGCTGTGGATCTGCAACCTAGAGACTGTCCCTCACCCCTGCTCTGGATACCAGAAGCCAAGATCTAATCACACAGAGCCATGTGGCAGCCCTGAAGACAATGACTTCATCACATTATAGTTTCAGTGATGACTTGAGCAGAAATGACTATTACAGGAGCACCTTTCTGTGCTTTAATATGCTTAGCTGTTGTAATAGGAACATCGAATTTTCATGTTAGCAGTGCTGTTTCCCTGTTCTAATAAATCCTTCTCACTTGTTTCTCAAAGGGGAGTAGCTCTCCTGGATATACTCCTTGCTGGGTCCAAATCTTTAACATACTGGGAAACACACTCAATATTTTGGATCACACAGGGTGGTCCTGCACACAGGCAATCAATGGGGAGACCTAGCAAGGTCTTGAAGAAGGCTCTTCTTCAAGAAAGCAAAGGAGGTTTTCTAGAGGTAAATGTGACAGTGAAGTCCCAGACTCATCCCCTGCTTCAACCCCATCTTCCACCTGTGAAATGGGCCAACAACACTAGCAATCACTCAAGACTGCTTAGAAAGATCAATAGAAAGCCCATGGATTGGGAGAATATTTTCACTACCCATACAATGGACAAGGGTCTCATATCTAAAATATACCTGGAACTTAAAAAATTAAATCCCCCAACAACAAATCCTCAAAGAAACAACTACCTGATTAATAAGTGGGCTAAAAGCTTAAAGAGAGGCTTCTCTGAAGAGGAAATAAGAAGAGAAATAAGAACAGACACTTGAAGAAATGCTCAACTTCTCTAGCCATAAAAGAAATGCAAATCAAGACAACAACATTGAGATACTACCTCACCCCAGTCAGAATGGCTTTAATTAAGAAATCTCATAAAAAACAGATGCTGGAGGGGATATGGCCAAAAGGGAACCCTACTGCATTGTTGGTGGGAGTGTAAACTTGTTCAACCACTTTGGAAAGCAGTATGAAGGTTCCTCAAAAGACTTCACATAGAGCTCCCCTCTGACCCAACAATCCCACTTTTGGGCATTTACCTGTATGGAACCAACCTAGATGCCTCTCAGTAGATGAATGGATCAAGAAAATGTGATATGTACACACACACACACACACACACACACCGGAATTCTATGCCTCCATCAGAAAGAATGCCATTGCCCCATTTGTTAGGAAATGGAAAGACTTGGAAAAATTATATTAAGTGAAGTAAGCCAGGCCCAAAGAAACATAGGTCCCATGGTTTGCCTTGTTTGCAATGACTAGTACATATCTATGACAAGCAGAGAAGGGCAAAGACTATGTACATATGACCATATGAGATGAGGGTAACTGAAATGTACCCCAAGACACGGACACAAGGGTTTTGTCTCTCTCTCTCACTATTTTTTATTGTGAAAATACTGTACAGAGGGGTTACAATTACATGGGCAAGATGAGTACATTTCTCATCAAGCATTGTAGCCTCCTCCTTTGTTTCCCCTTCCCATCCTTTCCCATCCTCCTCCTGTCCCCCCACCCAATCCTCTCCGCCACCCCACACCAAAGTTGTATTGTACTTATAATGCACTATGTGATTCTTTTGTTTCTTTTGTAAGTTCTTCCCCCACAGTATAACCCCTGTTTTCACTGTATTTGGTTTTTCTGGTGATCTGCATCTTGTGTATACATTTTTGTAATTTGAGGAGGGGAAAGGGTATCCCGGAATGCTTAAAAGGGGATGCAGGTTGACCATTGTAATGATGAGACATACAGGACACTATGTTGAAAATGAACTTTACGATGTTGGGGTGGGGAGGGAGGAGTTGAGGAGGTAGGGAGGGAAGTGATGGTGGGGGAAAATCAAAGGATAGGAAATGTACTCATTACCCTACTCACGTAACTGTAACCCCTCTGTACAATATCTTTACAGTAAAAATATATATAATTTTTAAAAGACTGCTTTGAAGGACACATGAAACAAGAAATTGGAACTAATCACAATCCAGTGCCTGAAGGAGCAGACTGCCCATTAAACACAGACTGTCCATTAAACACAGTAGGGCGCCTCACCATCCATGCCACAGATACCTAGTGAGCATCTACCAGATGTGGGCACTACCTTCATGCTGGGATACAGCAAGGAGATGGCAAAGTCCTGGAGCAACCTGGAGTTCACAGGGTGTTCCTCAGCCTGGTCAGCAACCAAATTGAACCTAAGCCAAGTCTGTCCACCTCAGTCAGGGCTCTGTGCACTCAATGAGCTGTTCCTATCCACTTGGGCCACTCAGAGCTGCTTACAGACACACAGTGGGTGCAGCCTGGAGCTAAGGTGTTGCGGGATGTGGGACCTTCCTCACTAACCAAGCCCTTTCTTTCCTCTCCACAGATTCAGGGATGTCAGACAAAATGATGGACATCGCCATCATTGCTGGTGAGTTTCCACAACTGGGTCCTTCTAGCAGCCAGGAAAGGCATATTTATTATGGCAGAACCAGCCTAAAGCTCTGGGGGTGAAAGGGTGACTGTGGCCAGAGCATCCATGCCCTCAGAAGGGCCTTGAAGGTAGAATGGGAGAGTCTGGTCCTGGTAAGAAATGTCCAGCATGGTTCCTGGTGGAGTAGGCAAGGTAGAGAGACCATATCAAGAGGTACCCTGTTTCCACAGGGCTTCAAGTTAGAGAGGGAGTGACTTGAGCAGAAGAGATTACAGATAGAGGTGAATGGGCAGGGGACTAAAAGGGCTGCCTGGTCTTCTCCCCATCTCACACATCCCACACTAACCCCAGCCCCAGCCTCATGCATGCCTCTGTCCTAAAGGAAGTCTGACCTTCACTTGCCTGTATTGGATCCTACGCAGTAGCTTCTCATTGGTCACAGCTCTGAACCAAACTTCAGTTCAGGAGCAAGCACATTTAGAAGATACCACTTATTCACTTCTTATGTTTGAGACCTACACTTCTTACTAGCTTATTAATAGCTCAGGGAACTTCTTTAATGAAATGAAAAACAGCAGGAAGCCATCAAAGACACCTGTTCAGTTTCATTTAACCCAGCACCCTCCTACTCACTGGATCCTGAGCCTGCTTTTACTCAGCCAGTATTGTTGACCTTGTAAGATGTAAGTGTCCCGCTGCACGCAGCTGGAAGTTTAGGAAATAGTTCCACAAAAGCGGGACTTGGCAGCAGTTTCAGCCTTCTCATATTCCCCCAATGACCCCTTGAATAAACCTGTATTCCAATAAAGACAAAGGCTTGTTCTGCAGCCTCAACTCACATGGCCAAATTCAAAACACCACCATAAATTGCTGCCCTTCAGCTCCTTCTAAAATCTCCTAGTCTCAGCCCCCATACCTCCTCCTCCCAAGGCCCTGAATGTTATCCCTAGTGATTTACCCCAGCATACCCTTTGCACCAACCAAGTCCAGTTGCTCCTTTCAGACTGGGGAAGTCCTTGGGCATACAGCTAATGGCCACAGGCTAGGGTGATGCCACTTTCCACCATGAATCCCCAAGCACATTTAATAACTCTCATCTTCCTGTTTCCTACCCCACTCCTCTAAAGAATAGCCAATTCTTGCTAGTCTTTTGAGACTTTTCTAATTTTACCACAGAAAGTCTTGTACCCTGGAAAACTCTGTAGTTGGGATTGTCTGAAGAAATAAAAATTTGCCATTCCACAGACTCATTGTTTTTAAACTGCTCAATCTGCAAGGATCATGAAGCAGGGTTAAGTCTAGCCAGCCTGTTCTAGCCACAGTGTCCAGTGAAGGCAGGGAGGGAGGGAAGAGAGAAGGGAGAGAGAGGAGAAAAGGATCCTTTCAGATGAACAGACAAGAGGCTTGCACAGCTAGGCAGAGAGCAACAAAAGGAAGGAAGGAAGGAGGGAAGGAAGGAAGGACGGAAGGAAGGAAGGAAGGAAGGAAGGAAGGAAGGAAGG